TGTCAGATCAGCAAAGACCAGGCTCTGGCTTGTGGATCCTGTCTTCTCCACGATGCGGGGCTGGGATTCACAGCTGGGTGATCGCCTCCCCCTGCTCAGCAGCATGCAGGAGAGAATGAAGATTATCACCGCAGCCCCGACCAGGAGAACATAAGGAAGTTTAGGGTTCATTTCTCCGAGTGCAGAGACAGCATGCGTGGTTTGGCTGCAGCATCCAGAATAAGTCCCTCACCTGCAGACCAGGCTCTTAATTCATTTGCCGACTGTGGGCGTAAAAGGCGTCACTTGCAAGGTGGGGAGGGAGCCTGGAGCTCGCATGGGACTCCGAGAGGAGATCACAGGTCCCAGCCAGTTCAGCCTGTTTCCTCCCCACCCCAGACACACCAAGGAAGCCAGCTGGGGAGCCGGTGCCTGACTCACTCCCCAAGCTGCTGATGGGTTTCTCTGCTGCAGGGTGACTCCATGAAAAGCCCCGGCCTCACTCTGCCCAAGGGGCCTTTGCTTCTCCCAGCGTCTCCCAGGACACCCTGTCCCGTCTCATGTGGGAGCGCAGTGGTGCCGCAGGGGCAGGCTTGTCTGGCCCCGCTCCTTCCGTTGCCCCGGGACCAGCCCCGCTCCCCTGAAGGGCCAGTCTAGGCTGGCACTCCAAGAGAGCTCCCAGAGAGCCCCCAGACCTGCAGGCTCCCCAGCACCTCCATGTGCCCATTCTCCCCGTCGCCATTCTCTGACGCCTCCAAGTCCCTCCCAACCCTGAAGGAAGGGACCCAGCAGCTCCAGCCTGGCTCAGCTGCGGCGGACTGGCTGAGACGAGAGGAAGCTCCCTGGTAAGAACAGGCAGTGCTTGTCAAACCCCTGGCAGCAACTGCAAGGGACAGGCAGCACCTGGAGCGGCTGCACCAGGAAGAGCAGAGGCTGCAGGACAACTAACAGGACACATCTGTTCCCCTTCAACCATCCCAAACCCACTCCAGCGGACAGGATCCTTGGACAAGAGCCATCACGGACAGAAATGGTTAGTGTCAGGAAACTGCTCCGTACTCCTGACCACACAACGGACCCTCCCTGGCAAGAAGAGCCGCAC